AAAGCAGCTATAGAAAACATGTAAACAAATGAATGTGGCTGTGTTCCAATAAATCAGGTATTTACAAAAATAGGCCAAGGACTGGTTTTAACCTGTGGGTCATAGCTTGTGCCCTCCAAATTAGAGTATGAGAGACCCCACCGACGAGGAAAATCGAGATGCCCCAGCCAACAGTTTGAACCAACTATCTGACATAAGAGTGAGATGATTTGTGACTTTTAGCCCAGCCAGCTCCTGCACTGATTTAACCAATGTGAAACCAGCAGAGGAATCTCCCAGCCAGCCTACAAAATCATGAGAAATAATTAATTTCTGTGTTTTAATCCACTTAGTTTTGGACATTTCATTATACAGCAGTAGTTAACTAAAAGAGAAATTGGTACCTGAAGTGGAGTACTAGTTTGGCATTTGGTTAAAAAGTAAATATATGCACATTTTTCTGGAGTGAAAAGCAGTAACTTTAATTAAATTCTTATGGGGATATAAGACCTATAAAAAGGATTAAGAACCTCTCTCTTGATATATCTCAAAGAAAACTTTTAGGGTCAAGATATAGATTAAATATGGCCACATACTTTTTTTTTGCTCTAATTTTTAAAATTACATTAGTATCCTGAAACTCATCTATGGAGAACCTGAAGTTGAAAATCCCTAGCTCACATATTAGTATATTTTCATTAATTTTCAGTTAACCCTTTCTATCTGCAGACACAGTTCTTTATTTAGCTTATTAAAATCATTTTTCACTGTTGTATCTTTTTTTAAATTTTTTTTTCAACGTTTTATTTATTTTTGGGACAGAGAGAGACAGAGCATAAAGGGGGGAGGGGCAGAGAGAGAGGGAGTCACAGAATCGGAAGCAGGCTCCAGGCTCTGAGCCATCAGCCCAGAGCCCGACGCGGGGCTCGAACTCACGGACCGCGAGATCGTGACCTGGCTGAAGTCGGACGCTTAACCGACTGCGCCACCCAGGCGCCCCTCATTGTTGTATCTTTGATTATTGCTTGTGTTTCAAGTGTTCATGATTTATCTTCGTAACACTAGCCATCCATATATAGTCTCTCTATGCTCTGCCTTACATTATCACCAGCTTCTCGCTTGTCATTTTCATCTCTTTATCCTTTCCTTTGTAATTTTAGCAAGTTTCTCATATATTTCCTCCATATTACTAATTTGATTTCCTTTGGTGTCAGTTCAATTCTTTATTGACATATCACTTAAAAATAATGTGTGGATCTGTTTCATATTTTGATTACATAAGCCAAGTACTTGAAGAAATAATTATTGAGACAGTTAAGGAAATCTGAACATCATCCAGGTATTTGATGTACTAAGTATTATAAGTCTTATTCAGTGTGATGATGGAATTGTGGTTACATTTTTTTTTTTTTTAAGAAGAAAGGGGGCTCGGGGCGCCTGGGTGGCGCAGTCGGTTAAGCGTCCGACTTCAGCCAGGTCACGATCTCGCGGTCCGTGAGTTCGAGCCCCGCGTCAGGCTCTGGGCTGATGGCTCAGAGCCTGGAGCCTGTTTCCGATTCTGTGTCTCCCTCTCTCTCTGCCCCTCCCCCGTTCGTGCTCTGTCTCTCTCTGTCCCAAAAATAAATAAACGTTGAAAAAAAAATTTTTAAAAAGAAGAAAGGGGGCTCTTGGGTGGCTCACTAGGTAAGCATCTGACTTCAGCTCAGGTCATTTTTGAGTTGAGGCTGGTGAGTTTAAGCCTCATCAGGCTCCCTGCTGTCAGTGCAGAGCCTGCTTCAGATCCTCTGTCTCTCTCTCTCTCTCTCTCTCTCTCTCTCTCTCTGCGCACCTCCCCCACTCAGATTCTCTCTCTGTCTCTCTCAAAAATAAATAAACATTAAAAAATAAAATAAAAAAAGAAAGAATGACTTCATGTGAAAGAGATACTTATTGAAGTATTTACAGGTGAAATTATATTGTCTTTAGGATTTGATTTAAAATATTTTAGTACAGGGTCCCCTGGGTGGCTCAGTTGGTTAAGTGTCCAACTCTTGATTTCAGCTCAGGTAATGATCTCATGGTTTGTGGGATCAAAGCCCCACATAAGGCTCTGCACTAATAACAAGGAGTCTGCTTAGGAGTCTCTCCCTCTCTCTCTGCTCCCTCCCCTGCTCGTACTCTCTCTCTCTCTCTCTCTCTCTCTCCTCTCTCAAAAATAAATAAACTGTAAAAAATAAAACATTTAAAAAATGAAATAGTTCACAAAATATTGGTAACTAAGTTGAATGATTAAATGGTGATTATTACATTGATCTCTCCACTATGTATCTGTTTTAAACATCCCACAATATCAAGTATCAAAATTGCAAAAATAAGTCTGAACTTTATTGTTTTTAAATTTTTAAAAAAAAAATTTTTTTTTTCAACGTTTATTTATTTTTGGGACAGAGAGAGACAGAGCATGAACGGGGGAGGGGCAGAGAGAGAGGGAGACACAGAATCGGAAACAGGCTCCAGGCTCTGAGCCATCAGCCCAGAGCCTGACGTAAATTTTTTTTTAACGTTTATTTATTTTTGAGACAGAGAGAGACAGAGCATGAACGGGGGAGGGGTAGAGAGAGAGGGAGACACAGAATCTGAAACAAGCTCCAGGCTCTGAGCTGTCATCACAGAGCCCGACGCGGGGCTTGAACTCACGGACTGCGAGATCATGACCTGAGTTGTAGTCGGACGCTTAACCGACTGAGCCACCCAGGCGCCCCATGAACTTTATTGTTTTTAATACAGATTTAATATATGAGATTTTACTGTTTATGTTTTTCCTTAATCCACCCCACTTCGTTTCTATATTTCTGCCTGCCTCTCAATCAGCTTTCTTTCCATCTCAGTCTGCTATTTTATATTATCTTTTATGTCTTATTTTATAGAATAAGTTTAAGGATTGTTTTGAGAACACTAAGCAGATGTCCTGTTCTTGCCAAAAATCTATTTTAAAAGCCTGTTCTTCTTACCCATCTTGAAACTGTTTTCTCCATTTTTCCATTTTTTGGAATCTTTTCTTATCCCCAGTGTTCACTTTCTTTCTACTCATTGTCCTTAAAATAAAAAGGTACTATCAGGCCTGGTTTCCCCTGTAATCAGGGAAGGTATATTCTACTTGGTTCCTTCATTATCCCCAGGTTGTTGTTATATTTTCATTTCAGTCAAAGTCTAGTTAATACAAATTTTAGTAAACCAGAATTTTAGGACCCATGAGAAAGATATGGAAACACTGAAAAATCCAAGCAGAAGAACTTCTTCTCTATAGTATCTTTCCACTCTATCTACTGAAGCTGCTATACTGGAAGCTAAATTTCTGTATCTAGAGTGCTAATATTCTATTTCCATTGGGCCAGTAATTCATGTTAAGTGCAAGTACTTAAGGGTCTCCTATCAACTACTGCCTGCTTCATGGGACTCAAGATCCTGCCGTTTGACCAGCTCTGCTCTTGGTGGTTTCCCATTGCCACTCTCTTTAATAACTGCTGATTTGCACTGATGAAATGGAATCCAAGTAGTTTCCATGGAACCAAGTGCTCCTGTGTGGTTTTTTAATGTATCGACTGGCTGGGCTGAACTACATTTCCCAGAATTCTCTTTCCTGTATGTTTTCCAGTTACAGTGAGCCACAAGAGACAGTCTTGTATGAGATTTAAAGGGCAAAAATGGGCACCACAGCCTTTTTTTATTATTATTATTATTAATAGCTTCCATACATTTTTATTCACCTCCTGGCTTACCTTGTTGGTCTGCAACAGCTCCATCTTCACCTGGATCCTCTTTTACCTTTTCCAACTCCTAAGCCAATTACCAATTTTTCCTGCAGGACACCCATGTGACCAAGACCAGAGACAGAACTGACACAGTGTTCAGTTCACCTTTGTGGGGTTCAGATTGTGCTTGTTGGTCCCAGTTCATCCTTTCTCTCCTGCACTTAATTTTTTTTTAATGTTTATTTAATTTTGAAAGAGAGCCCATGTGCAAGCTGGGGAGGTACAGAGGGAGAGGGAGACAGAGGATCTGAATTCACAAACTGTGAGATCATGACCTGAGCCCAAGTCAGATGTTAAACCAACTAAGCCACCCAGGCGCCCCTCTCTCCTGCACTTTAAATTCGCCTTCCATTGGGGCACCTGGGTGGCTCAGTCAGTTAAGTGTCAACTCTTGATTTCAGCTGACAGCGCAGAACTTCCTTGAAATTTCCTGTCTCCCTTGCTTTCTCTGCACCAACCCCCTCTCGAAATAAATTAAAAAATAAAAATAAAGGAGGACGTTTATTGTGTGTCTCGCGTCCATGAAATACAGCCAGACCGACACTAAACCATCCTACACACCTAGAAAACTGACCGGACGATTAACAAAACAATCTGCACAACCTGAACCACAGAATTCAGCAGGTACGCGACACGGAGAAGTGAACTTGGGGAGCGAGAAGGCGCAGGAAGGGAGGTGTTTTTGTCAGCGGAGAGAGGATGGAGACTGGAGGTGGGAGGGAGAATATGGGAAAATCACCCCTCCCCAAAAGCAGCTGGAGAGAAAGTAGAAAATTAGAAACAGCCACAGGGACTAAACTAAAAAGGGAGAAATGAGAGGGTTTAAATTCCGTTAAGACTGTAAACAAGGGGAGTGCAGTCTGCAACTCCACAGCTCGATACCTGGCGGTGCTCTGGTGGGAAGGGCGAATCCCCAGGAACAGAGTGGGGTCCAGGAGTTCTCAGGCCACCCGGGGAAAAGCGGTTCCACTTCTGGAAGGACATTTGGTAGAGACTGTTGAGGCCACCTGGTCCCAGCAGACCCCAGGAGGCGGCCACGTTTGCTGGTGCTGGAACAAAGTCATTAAGGCTGAAGCCTGGTGCCAGATGTGTGTTGTGATTTTCCATAATCCCTGATAAGCTGCTGCTCCACTGTCTCAGGAACTTTTACTCGGCGCGCTGGCACCTGGCCGCAGTCTCAGGGCACTGGCAGCAGCAGGGTCCGTCAAGTGTTCCTGGGTGCAGCCGACATTCAGCCATTGCTCATTCAGCCATTGTTCGGTGAGACCCTCCCGCAGAGGGGCGGAAGAGGTCAAAGCCGCAGTCCTTCAGAAACAACCACATCTGAGTCAAAACGTGGAAGAGAGGCCTGGGGCCTGGTCACAGAGAGTGAAAAAGCAGGGAGTGGATGAAAGCTGAAGACAGAGGACAGGGGCGCAATTGCTGATCCGGGAGAACACATTGGGTAAGGGGTGGCGCCATTTTTACCGCTCCGGCGCATGCGCATACACACCTAGGAACCCCGCAACCATCCACCCCAGTAGGATAGCAGCGCCATCTAGTGGAGAGTGGAGCTATTACACTGAGCCCTGCTCAAGTGGGCCAACCTCACTCTTCAGTAACACAAGTCTCACTGCTGGCTTAGTCTATGGACTATGAAACGCTACATATACTGACTTCTGGGGGAAAACGAAGTAATGTCAGTCCTACCTTATTCTGTCAGCAGGTCCATCTATTCAATTTTCTTTCTTTTTTTTTCTCTTTTACACTACTTTTCTTTTTCTTGAACACAGAAAGAGAAAAAATTTATTTTTATTTTCAATTTTTATTAAAAATATTTTTCCCTAATTTTTATTACTATATTTTTTACTTTTGTGTAAAATTTTCAAATTCTATTTTACATCCATCATTTTATTTTAGCATATTCACCTTTTCAAATTTTCAAACGATTTCCTTTTTTTCTTTTCTTTCTTTTTTCTCTTTTTTGTTTCTTTTCTTTTTCTTGAATGCAGCAAGAGAAAAACTTCATTTTTACTTTCAATTTCTATTAAAAATATTTTTCTTTAATTTTTATTACTATAATTTTTACTTTTGTGTAAATTTTTTCAAATTCTATTTTACTTCCATCATTTTATTTTAGTCACTACAGTGTATTCACTTTTTCAAATTTTCAAATGATTTCCTTTTTTTCTTTTTTTATCTTCTTTCTGTTTTTCATTTCTTTTCTTTTTCTTGAATACAAAAAGAGAGGATTCGTATTTATTTTTAATTTTTATTAAAAATATTTTTCTAAATAAGCCATACAGAGAAAGACAGATACCATATGGTTTCACTCTTATGTGGATCCTGAGAAACTGAACAGGAACCCATGGGGGAGGGGAAGGAAAAAAAAAAAAAGAGGTTAGAGTGGGAGAGAGCCAAAGCATAAGAGACTGTTGAGAACTGAGAGCAAACTGAGGGTTGATGGGGGGTGGGAGGGAGGAGAGGGTGGGTGATGGGTATTGAGGAGGGCACCTTTTGGGATGAGCACTGGGTGTTGTATGGAAACCAATTTGACAATAAATTTCATATATAAATAAAAAAAATATTTTTCTTTATTTTTTTCTTACTTTATTCATTACTTTTGTGTATATTTTTTCAAATTCTATTTTACTCCCATCATCTCATTTTAGTCATTTTTTTAAATTCTCAAGCAATTTCCTCCCCCCCCTTTTTTTCTCTAATCTGTCAAACCACTTTCAACACCCAGACCAAAACACACCTAGAATCTAGCATCATTTATTCAATTTTGGTGTGTGTGTGTGTTTTTAATTTTTTAATTTTAATATTTTTTTAATTTTAATTTTTCTACCTCATTAATTCCTTTTCTCCCTTCAAAATGACAAAACAAAGGAATTCACCCCAAAAGAAGAGCATGAAGAAATGACAGCCAGGGATTTAACCAACACAGATACAAGCAACATGTCTGAGCCAGAATTTAGAATCACGATAATAAGAATACTAGCTGGAGTTGAAAATAGATTAGAATATATTTCTGCAGAGATAAAAGAAGTAAAAAATAGCCAGAATGAAATTAAAAATGCTGTAACTGAGCTGCAATCATGGATGGATGCAGCAGCGGCAAGGATGGACAAGGCAGAACAGAGAATCGGTGGTATAGAGGACAAACGTAGAGAATAACAAAGCAGAAAAAAAGAGGGAGATTAAGGCAAAAGAGAATGATTTAAGAATTAGAGAAATCAGTGACTCATTAAAAAGAAACATCAGAATCATAGGGGTCCCAGAAGAGGAAGAGAGAGAAATAGGGGTAGAAGGGTTATGTGAGCACATCATAGCAGAAAACTTTCCTAACCTGGGGAAAGACATAGACATCAAAATCCAGGAAGCACAGAGGACCCCCATTAGATTCAACAAAAACCGACCACCATCAAGGCATATCATAGTCAGCTTCACAAAATACTCAGGCTAGGAGAGTATCATGAAGCAGCAAGGGAAAAAAAGTCCCTAACCTACAAGGGAAGACAGATCAGGTTTGCAGCAGAACTATCCACAGAAACTTGGCAGGCCAGAGAGGAGTGGCAGGATATATTCAGTGTGCTGAATCAGAAAAATATGCAGCCAAGAATTCTTCATCCAGCAAGGCTGTCTTTCAAAATAGAAAGGAGATAAAAAGTTTCCCAAACAAACAAAAATTAAAGGAGTTTGTGACCACTAAGCCAGCCCTGCAAGAAATTTTAAGGGGGACTCTCTGAGGGGAGGAAAGATGAAAAAATATATATAAATAAAGATCAAAAGCAACAAAGACTAGAAGGACCAAAAACTCCAACTCTACAAGCATCATAATGGCAATAAATTCATATCTTTCCATATTCACTCTAAACGTCAATTGACTCAATGCTCCAATCAAAAACATAGGGTAACAGAACGGATAAGAAAACAAGATCCATCTATGTGCTGTTTACAAGAGACTCACTTTAGACCTAAAGATACCTTCAGATTGAAAGTAAGGGGATGAAGAACCTTCTATCATGCTAATGGTTGACAAAAGAAAGCTGGAGTAGCCATACTTATATCAGACAATCTAGACTTTAAAATAAAGACTGTATCAAGAGATGCAGAAGGGCATTATATCATAATCAAGGGGTCTATCCACCAAGAAGACCTAACAATTGTAAACATTTATGTGCCAAATGTGAGAGCACCCAACTATATAAATCAATTAATCACAAACATAAGGAAACTCATCAATAGTAATACCATAATAGGAGGAGACTTCAACACTCCACTCACAGCAATGGACAGATCATCTAATCAAAAAATTAACAAGAAAACAATGGCTTTGAATGACCGGACCAGATGGACTTAACAGATAGATTCAGAACATTTCATCCAAAAGCAGCAGAATATACATTCTTCTCCAGTGCACATGGGATGTTCTCCAGAATAGACCATATACTGGGACACAAATCAGCCCTCAACAAGTACAAAAAGATCGAGATCATACCATGCATATTTTCAGACCACAGCGCTATGAAACTCGAAATCAACCACAAGAAAAAATTTGGAAAGGTAACAAATACTTGGAGACTGAAAAACATCCTACTAAAGAATGAATGGGCTAACCAAGCAGTTAAAGACGAAATGAAAGAGTATATGGAAGCCAATGAAAATGATAACACCACAACGCAAAACCTCTGGGATGCAGCAAAGGCGGTCATAAGAGGAAAATATGTAACAATCCACGCCTTCCTAAAGAAGGAAGAAAGATCTCAGATATACAACCTAACCTTACGCCTTAAGGAGCTGGAAAAAGAACAGCAAATAAAACCCAAGCCCAGCAGAAGACAGGAAATAACAAAGATTAAAGCAGAAATTAATGTTATCAAAACCAAAAAGCAGTAGAACAGATCAATGAAATCAGAAGCTGGTTCTTTGAAAGAATTAACAAAATTGATAAACCTCTAGCCAGTTTGATCAAAAAAGAAAAAGGAAAGGACCCAAATAAATAAAATCCAGAATGAAAGAGGAGAGATCACAACCAACACAGCAGAAATACAAACAATAATAAGAGAATATTATGAGCAAGTATATGCCAATAAAATGGGCAATATGGGAGAAATGGACAAATTCCTAGAAACATATACACTACCAAAACTGAAACAAGAAGAAATAGAAAATTTGAACAGACCTATAACCAGTAAGGAAATCGAATTAGTAATCAAAAATCTGCCAAAACACAAGAGCCCAGGGCCAGATGGCTTTCCAGGGGAATTCTACCAAACATTTAAGGAAGAGTTAACACCTATTCTCTTGAAGCTGTTCCAAAAAACAGAAATGGAAGGAAAACTTCCAAACTCTTTCTAGGAAGCCAGCATTACCTTGATTCCAAAACCAGATAGAGACCTCACTAAAAAGGAGAACTATAGACCAATTTCCCTGAAGAACATGGATGCAAAAACCCTCAACAAGATATTAGCCAACCGGATCCAACAATACATTGAAAAAATTACTCACCACGACCAAGTGGGATTTATACCTGGGATGCAGGGCTGGTTCAATATCCACAAAACAATTCACATGACTCAGCGCATCAATAAAAGAAAGGACAAGAATCATATGATCCTCTAAATAGATGCAGAGAAAGCACTTGACAAAATACAGCATCCTTTCTTCATAAAAACCCTCAAGAAAGTAGGGATAGAAGGAGCATACCTCGAGATCATAAAAGCCATATATGAACAACCCAACACTAATATCATCCTCAATGGGGAAAAACTGAGAGATTTCCCTCTAAGGTCAGGAACAAGACAGGGATGTCCACTCTCACCACTGGTATTCAACATAGTATTGGAAGTCTTAGCTTCTGCAATCAGACAACACAAAGAAATAAAAGGCATCCAAATTGGCCAGGAGGAGGTCAAACTTTCACTCATCGCAGATGACATGATACTCTATATGGAAAACCCAAAAGATTCCACAAAAAACTGCTAGAACTGATTCATTAATTCAGCAAAGTGGTAGGATATAAAATCAATGCACAGAAATCGGTTGCATTCCTATACACCAACAATGAAGCGACAGAAAGAGAAATCTAGGAATCTATCCCATTTACAATTACACCAAAACCATAAAATATCTAGGAATAAATCTCACCAAAGAGGTGAAAAATCTATACACTGAAAACTATAGAAAGCTTATGAAAGAAATTGAAGAAGACACACACACAAAAGGAAAAAGATTCCATGCTCTGGGATAGGAAGAACAAACACTGTTAAAATGCTGATACTACCCAAAGCAATCTACATATTCAATGCAATCCCTATCAAAATAACACCAGCATTCATCACAGAGCTAGAACAAACAATTCTAAAATTTGTATGGAATCAGAAAAGACCCCAAATAGCCAAAGCAATCTTGAAAAAGAAAACCAAAACAGGAGGCATCACAATCCCGGACTTCAAGCTATACTACAAAGCTGTAATCATCAAGACAGTATGGTACTGGCACAAGAACACACACTCAGATCAATGGAACAGAAGAGAGAACCCAGAAATGGACCCACAAATGTATGGCCAACTAATCTTTGACAAAGCAGGAAAGAATATCCAATGAAAAAAAGACAGTCTCTTCAGCAAGTGGTGCTGGGAAAACTGGACAGCAACATGCACAAGAATGAACCTGGGCCACTTTCTTACACCATACACAAAAATAAACTCAAAATGGATGAAAGACCTCAATGTGTGACAGGAAGCCATCAAAATCCTTGAGGAAAAAGCAGGCAAAAACCTCTTTGATCTTGTCCACAGCAACTTCTTACTCAACACGTCTCCGGAGGCAAGGGAAACAAAAGCAAAAATGAACTACTGGGACTTCATCAAAATAAAAAGCTTCTGCACAGTGAAGGAAACCATCAGCAAAACTAAAAGGCAACCAACAGAATGGGAGAAGATATTTGCAAATGACATATCAGATAAAGGGTTAGTATCCAAAATCTATAAAGAACTTATCAAACTCAACACCCAGAAAACAAATAATTCAGTGAAGAAATGGGCAAAAGATATGAATAGACACTTCTCCAAAGAAGTCATCCAGATGGCCAACCGACACATGAAAAAATGCTCAACATCACTCATTATCAGGGAAATACAAATCAAAACCACAATGAGATACCACCTTACACCTGTCAGAATGGCTAACATGAACAACTCAGGCAGCAACAGATATTGGCGAGGATGCGGAGAAAGAGGGTCTCTTTTGCATTGTTGATGGGAATGCAAGCTGGTGCAGCCACTCTGGAAAACAGTATGGAGGTTCCTCAAAAAAACTAAAAATAGAAGTACCCTATGACCCAGCAGTTGCAGTACTAGGCATTTATCCATGGGATACAGGTGTGCTGTTTCGAAGGGACACATGCACCCCCATGTCTATAGCAGCACTATCAACAATAGCCAAAGTATGGAAAGAGCCCAAATGTCCATCAATGGATGAATGGATGAAGAAGAGGTGGTATATATATACAATGGAGTATTACTCAGCAATCAGAAAGAATGAAATCTTGCCATTTGCAACTATGTGGATGGAACTGGAGGGTATTATGCTAAATGAAATTAGCCAGTCAGAGAAAGACAAAAATCATATGACTTCACTCCTATGAGGACTTTAAGAGACAAAACAGATAAACATAAGGGAAGGGAAACAAAAATAATATAAAAACAGAGAGGGGGACAAAACAGAAGAGACTCATAAATATGAAGAACAAACTGAGGGTTGATGGAGGGGTTGTGGGAGGGCAGATGGGCTAAATGGGTAAGGGGCACTAAGGAATCTACTCCTGAAATCATTGTTGCACTATGTGCTAACTAATTTGGATGTAAATTTAAAAAAAATAAAAAATAAAATTAAAACTAAAAAATAAAATATTAAAAAAATAATAAAATAAAATAAAATAAAATAAAATAAAATAAAATAAATTCATCTTCCCTTCCCACCTATCTACCCTGTGAACTTCAAGCTCTAACATCAGGTAAAATCAACACCCTTACAAAGACTTCTAGAGCAGCTTCTACTATTGAGGTCAAATTCCTATAACAAAGACATTTGTGTGTGTGTCTGAAATACATCTTAGTATAGCTATCTATATCTAGTTGTCTAGCTACCTACATATCTATCTATCATCTATATTTCGTAGTGATTCTGCTTCTTTAATTGAATCTCGACTAAAAAAGCTCCACATCTGATCCATGACCCACTTTAGTTCCTGTTATTTTGCTTCAAAGTTTGGGAATTCTGGTTGGCTTCTCCCAAAGTCTCAATTTAACTTTGTGGTTATTTTGTTGTTTCTTAGGAAAGGGCTTTCACTACAACACTCAGTGACTTTCAGTTGAATGTGCACCTCATTTAACAGAAACTCCTTTGCCTTTTGGGCCCGTGATATTGTCTTTACCTAGTAAATCAGAAGCAATGATCAATCCATGAGGGATTTAGGTGCGGGGGCTTATGTAAATATTTTCTACAGCTGATTCCTGGGAGGAAAAACATTGTCAGCCCAAATCTAATTCTATATGTTTTATGTCCATACAAATGTCACTCTATTGACTGTAGCTCTTGTTTTGAAGATTTCTGGGAATTAAAAAAAAAAAAAAAAAGATCACTGGTCCCACTTCTAGCCATGACTAACTAGTGCCAATCATGCCTTCTCACTGTCTGCACGTAGACAACTAGACAAAAATGTGAAACAAATTTTCAGACATTGGACCACAACTAATTCAGAACTGTGATCTTGAAAATAGAGAAACAAATGAGGAGGGCTGTATAATCACCCCAGCTTTCTGGATGCAAGGACCATTTAGACAAGGACACAGAGAAGGGATCTTAAGCAGCATATAGAGATCAAAGTTTGAGGAGAAGAAAAAAAAGTTTGAGGAGGATAAGGTAGGTAGAATGTGTGGAACAGTCTAGAGAGGACAGAGCAATGACAAAAAAGGAGCTCCAGAAATACACATAACATATCCTTGAGTTTTTGACTGAATGTAAGCAGTGTATAAATAGGATGGGATTCCAGAAGGCTAAGTAATGAATGGATCTGTCAACTGAAAAGTTTCCATAGCTCACACTGGATGGGGAAGTTCTAACAAGTAATGGAATTGGAGAAGTTTTTGACTTTTTTGCTTTTTTCTTAAAGAGAAGCCATAGTTGCAACTAAGCCTTAGCTGGAAAGCTACAGAGTTTCTACAATGAATCATCAAGATGGATGCAATCCCAATGATACTATGAAGAAAAAATAAAATGAGACCCATACACAAAACATAATCAATGAATACCAACCTTAGAATGACCCTAGTGTTGAAATGAGCAGACAAGGATTTTAAAGCAGCTATTATAACTGTGCTCAAGGACATAAAGGAAAATATACTTGTAGTAAATGAACAAACAGAAACTATAAATGAGAATCAAATGGCAAGTCCACAGGCTGAACATATGGTAAGGATGTGGGGCTCTTGGCCAAAGTGAGGTGGAAGGCCCTGGAGCAAGACCGAGTCCAGACCAAGCATTAAGTTTAGCTTGCAATGCTTATAATTAGAATGAATAATTTGAAATTGCAGCTTCACCTGATGCAGTCATGTCCTCTTCATCCAATTTCTTAAGATCTCTCTCAGTTTATGAACCTCTTAAAAGCATTAATCTCCTAAGATCTGATTGTTAAACCCTGTGGGATAAATCAGAATATTATTACAGAATTGTCAAGTTAATATTGCTGGTGTTTCAAGGTCCAACCACAGGTGTCTTTTCCGCTAGAATATATGATGATGACCACAATACCAAGATCCAGTACAGCCTATACTGTGCTTTTTGGACTTGGGCTTTAAACCCTTGCATGTAGTCACATTGATAATGAAAAGAGAAGGACGTAGGAGCTTGGCTGTAAAATGCATGAGAAGTATTTTCTACTGTTACATGCATCAGGATGTTAAGGCCCAGAAGTTTAAGCAGGACACAGCCCAGTTCTTTTGGATATTTTTCAGCCACAACAGCATGAAAGATGACTAACCAGGCATCGAACCAGTGAGTCTTTGAATAGAATTTCCACTGAGTTCTCTGGCCAAGCAGCGCAGATCCTGCAAAACAAAAAACAAAAAACAAAACAAAACAAACACTCAATGGTATCATATCTGGAAAGCATTTACCATAGCAACCAACCTGTCAAATATGATAATATATGAGAGAAATGTCTTTCTCCTTCTTGAAGTCATGTTGGAAAATATCAACTGGCCACAAATATCAATTGTGGAGTTATTAATGGCTATATTCATTTTGCTGGAAAGAAATCTTCAGTGAGACTTTCAAGACAAAAAAGTAGATCTAGATAAACTGGTGAAAGAAAAATTTTAGTAATTTCAAAAATATGAGATTCAACTAAAGGAAGTTGACAAAAAAGATGATGTGACTTCCTTTTACAACACTCTCCCTAATCCCTTGCTAAAAAAAAAGTATTATATATATATAAATATACATTTATATCTTATATATTTATATATATATACAGGGGAGGGGGTGAGGAACACCTGATTGCCTAAGTTCAGCTCACAGGTCAGCCAGTGGTCATGTCCTCTCAGTGACCTCCTTCAACAAAAGTTTAGGGCAACTGGAGATAAGGGGGAGAAGAGGTAGGTAGTGAGGCAGGGAGAAATTAGTTCGGAGGAATATGTTGGACTCTGTCCTGTGGACAAGAACCATAGACTAGAGTGGAGAGAGCCTAAAGGTAGAAACAAGAGCTACATGATAGGCAATAGATGATGAATGGCCTTGACAGAAGTGTACGGAGGGAATAACTGGTTATGAAGAAGTAAGGCTGGATTTGGGAGACATCTAAGATGTGGAATTGATATGACTTTATAACTAGTTGGATAAGGAACAGGAAAAGGATGATATTCGGATAGATGGCTTGGAAGCTGGTTTAGACTGAATTTGTCCCCCAAATTCATATGCTGAAGCCCTAACCATCAATATAACTGTACCTGGAGGTAAGGTATTTAGGAGATAATTAATGTTAAATATGTTAAATGAGGTCATAAGGGTGGGGCCCTAATCCAATAGGACTGTGGCCTTATGAAAACAGGAAGAGAGAGAGAGAGAGAGAGAGAGAGAGAGATCTTCCCTTCAGTTAGAAGGTACTGTATACAAGCCAGGAAGAGTTCACCTGAAACTAAATGGCAAGAGCTTGATCTTGGACTTCCCAGCTTCCAGAACTGTGAAAAAATAAATTTCTGTTGTTTAAGCCACCCAGTCTATGCTATTTTGTTATGGCAGCCCAAACAGACTAATACAAGAGCCAATGGGAGGAGTGGGATTATGGGGAGGGGACATGTTCATGCAATTCACCTGGATCAAGAACACAAAACAAGAAGCCAGTTGCAGCAATGTTTTGAGTTCAGATTGGGATATCTCAAGATTGGGATGTCTAAATCATAGACATTTATATGAGAAGATAAACGGCTGGAAATCTATGTATGAAACTCTGGGGAGTGGTTGGCTGGAAGTACATACTTGGAAACCATCAGCAGTAGGTGGTAGTTGAAGCCATGGAGATGGGCAAGCAGAGGAGGAAAGAAGTTCAACAATGCAGAATAAAATAGCCAGAGATGGAGGAGAACCATAACTGAGTAGTGACTTTGAAGCCAATGAGAGAATTTTGAAAAGAGATGATTAACAGGATCAAATGCAGTGCACTGAGCCCATTTCTGGGGACATGTCTAAGTGTTTGGCACAACCCTTGAAATCAAGGGCCCAACAGTCTAGCTGAAAGGAGAACACAAACATATGAAACAATTAGGAAATCATTCAATTAGAGTAAATTGTCTTATTACTGTAACAGACAAGTGCAATATAGATCCATCCATTTATTCTGCAAACATATTGAGCTCCTACTGTGTGCCAGACATTTCGTTTTTGGAAGAGGCGATTGGGCTTTTTTAAAAGAAGGGCATGACTTAGTTATGGAGGTGTAAATGATATTCTAAGTGAAAAAGAACAAAAGCTGAGTAATTTAGGCACATGAGGAGAGGGGGTGGAAAGGATGCAGTCTTGGCAAGAGTCTAAGAAGGGGGGACTATCTGGGAAGAAAGCCTGGCTAGGTGAGTTTGTGCCAGAGATTGGAGGGCTGGAGGGCACCCGTCAGAGTGTAACTAGTTCCAGAAGTATTCCCGATCCGGTATATTTTCTAGGTGCTATCTACCTACCTACCTAGGAGCCAGTGGGGCCACTGCTTTCTGCAGACCTTGGACATGCAGAAAGTGCAAGCTTCTACAGGGGCCACCAAATACGTATCGAATTGCCGTCAGATACGGAGAGGAGATTATAACTAGATATCAAGGGAAAGCATAATTAGAGGAAAGCTTTTAGATATCACAGCAGTTTCCATGGCCCTGATCTACACATGAGCTTTTTCAAATAGCAGGTGCAGGAGACTGGGAGATCCCAAGCGTCCATCATAACACCTATACTGCAGTGGCTCTGGGTGGACCGATCAGCAGCCAGGCGTATGGCCAGGTAGATAGTATGATGAATAGTGATATGGGCAAATTCGTGGAGGGTGAACCACTACCAGTCTGAACGCTACCAGTCTTGCCTGGCGGACCTGGGAACAAAGCTTGCTTCCCCCAGGACGGCCCTGAGGGTGCAGTTCTCCGAATGGCTGGAAGAGGGCGCTGCGGATCGCACTGGTCCGGTAAAGTCCGAGGTCGACCCAGAGTCCTGGGAGGCGAGGGGTGGGGAAGCCAAGCCAGGTCTCCTCCCAGAAAACCCGAAGCTGCTGAAATCTTCCGCAGAGCGCCTGGCGGGGGTGTTAATGCGGCTGCTTGAAACTTTGCCTGGACCCAGTGTTGGGGGTTGGGGGGAAGGATGGGAGATTGGAGAGGGGAAAGGAACAGAGAAACCCCAGAGCGCTGCTGGCAACTCTGAGGAAATCACGACTACTATAGGCCCTCGGGCTCACACTGCTGGGGCTTCGGTTTGATGGGAGACGGAAGGGTGGAAGAGCTGCAGGTTTCAGCTATCTAAAGTTGAATGCAGCTGCACAGGTCCTAGGGCGAAACAGCCGCGGCGCCGCGAGGAACCTTCTTGAATCTTGTCATTTCAGCTTCAGCAGTCGCTCCAAAACTTTCTTCCGAACTGCACGCGCTTGCTAGGATGTTCCCATTCCTTAGGATGGGGGCTTCCTATCTGTCCAGAGTATGGCGAAATCACCACCGTCCACCCTGTCTCGCCCACTTACAGGCTTTTAATTTAAACAGGAAGAAGAACTGGGAGCAAACAAGCCAATCCGCTACAGGGCTCTGGCTCTACTTATGCCTCTGTCTTCCAGGGCGCCCCGCATCGGCCTCGCTGGGTCTCCCAGCAGCTGTAGGTCGGCCCCCTCCCCACTTCCCACCCCAGTATCGGTTTCTCCGCATTTCAAAGGATGCTGCTAGCGCTGAATTTCCTCCTTCTCTCTACTTTGTAAACCAATCCCCGAAGTCGCTGCTACCCAAGATCTCTTCCGCCAGGGGGCGCCTTGACTATAGGGGCTCTGGCTGTAACTTGGGACAAGTTGAATTAGGCTTGAACCGTGTGACATGAAAATAGGCAAGTTCTGAGACCACAGGTGTGAACCTCTTGGAAGACTTGACCTGACAGAGGAAAAGGTTCTTTGACACCAAAGGCCGGAGGATGGACTCTCCTCCCTGGGAGGACTCCCACTCCAACACCAGACAGCGCCAGTGCAGGGAGAAGGTGACACTGGAGCTACTCTCAGACATCCCAGCGTAGCCTCCCCCTCCACGCCCCCCGCCCGGGCCTGCGCAGAGGCCACGGCTTGAGGAGGGTGTCCGCAAAAGGAAGGTGGCCCGCGAAGACCCTAGATGCTCAAGTCCAGACAGGGAGCAGTGAGAGAGCGCGCCTTAGCTCCGAATCTGTTCCTCGAGCAGCCTCTTCGAAAGCCTCCTCGGGAAAGCCCCCTACTACAGCCCCTGCCCTCCACCCACCTTCTTCGAATAGATCTCTCAGAGGCTGTCAATTCTGGTGCCTGGGAAAAAAGCGCAAGGGGTTCCGGTGAGATCCTTCAGGGAGAGAAAGACGCCCTCCAGAGGGGGAGGCTCCGGATTCTCTGTTCCTTGGATCTCATTGGGGAGCAGCGACCCCCCGCGCCTGGCTGCTTTCCTGCTTTCTCTTCCTGGGTGTCGTTGCCTCGACGGCACCCGAGAACCCAGCTCAGCCAGGCTCGGGAGCCTGCTCCTGGCTGAGGAAGGTTTGCCCTCTGGTGGGGGGCTAGGCACAGGAACAGCCGAGGACCCAGAGAGCTTCATGCAGAGTTAGAAGCCTGGATTCATAGTTTCTATAAATTCAAGATACAGAGTCCTAACTAATAATCCCTTTCATTTGCTAGCAATTTTTATGCTTTACAAACTCATGGATCTCATCCTTAAATACTTGGATCCCTAGTACAACCTGGGAGGTACACAAGGAGAGATTATGACTATTTTTTTTGCCGTTCAGGAATCAGGTGCTAAGAGGCTTTGTTTCCTTAATTCAACATTTCTTGAGACACTGGAAAATTCAAGAATAAATAAAACAGGATCTCACCCTAAATTAGGGAGGCCAGTAAGCAACACCTTAGTTTACTCAGGCTGTGGGCAGAGCGGCTCCAGGGTGTGGTGGGAGTCCAGGAGAACTATACCACAGAGCTGAAACGTGGCAAAGCCAGGGCTCCAGTCCCAGGACTTCTGACTTGTACTCAAATACTCTGCCTATGACCCCTGAGCACTTTAAGATCGGCTGTGGTGAAGAACACTCCCCACCCCCCATCCTACACACACACACACACACACACACACACACACACAACACTTAAGATGAAGAAGGTAGCTAAAAGAAAGGACACTCCTGGGTTAGGAAGAGGTGTTGGGGCCAGAAGACTTCATCAAAACCTCTATCTTGGTTGGATCCCAGAGTAACATTGTCACAAAGTAACTATGTACATATTATTTGGGTGATTTATTGTTAGTTTATAAGCTCTGTGTGGGTAGGAGCCACATCTAGCTTGTTTAAAGCTGAATTGTTAGGCCTCGCACGGAGCCTGGCACAGA